CCCCGTCCCAGGGCGTGGGGGACGGGGGCTTGCCCCGTCCCAGGGCGTGGGGGACGGAACACCTCTCTATCCCCTTTCCTCAGGGCTTGCGGCGTTGTTGGAAAGTGAACGAGCGGAGGGGAGAGAAGGAGCGGTGTGAGAAGGGGGTGGGGATCGGCATATGTCTGCCCTTCCTTTTCCTCCGCCGTGTTCTCGTTTTCTTTTCTCTTGTGCCCTCCCCCCGTCCCGTCCCGTCCCCCCCAGTCCCGCTGTCGGGGATCGGGGCTGCGCTGGACGACGAGAGGCAAAGCCCCGCTTTCTGCGGGGTTCACAGCGGGGCGCGCGAGGCTTCAGCCCCTTCTCCTTGCACCTGCGTTTCCGCTTGCGTTGAGCCGGAGCAAAACGCAGAACAAAGATCAAATTGCAGTAGGTGAAGCCGGTGCCTGCCTGCTGGGGAAAACACGTAGGGCTGAGAATGGTGTCCCTTTTCCGAGGAGGCAAGCGAGGTTTGCACCTTGCTTTTCCCTGCGCTGCCGGTGCGGTTGTGCTCTCGGCCTGGTGACACTGCTCCTACCTGAGCAGTGTGGGTTTTCGGCCGGGATGTCATAAAGCCTGGTGCATTTAACACCAAGAGCTTAAGAAACTGCCGTATAATGGCCGATTTTCGGTAACTAAGCTGTCTATATCTCTGACTCTCGTGAAAGGACATTCAGGGATAGCATCTGTGCGCTTTAATTCTCCTGAACCTCATGCACAAAATCGTAAAACCCCGTAGGCTGCTTTTTCAGTGCTTAGTTTGTTTTAATGTCAGCCCGTAATTATTTATTTGGAATTAGATTGTGTTTCTCTTGAAACGGACTGTGTAAGAGTTGAAGCCAGTGGTTCTTGAAGATTCTTGCTTTAAGATTATGGTTCAAAAGGTCAAAGCAAGTGCATACTGCATTTGCTATTTCCTCCTCCACTTCAACTCTTCCCTGTCTTCTTCCACCCACCTACCCACCCCCACAAGCTTTATGTACAAACAAATCTTGACCCCCAAATTCTTCTCAAATGCTATTACTAAAGTGAGTGGAACTTGATTTATGGCCATAGACTGAAGGAGCTTGTCCTAAGAAAGTAGATGAAGTGCTCATTTCAATATAGCCAGCAATAGAACGGGGTCCTAACTGTGAAACTTCAGGGCACAGTACTCATCCTTAACACTGCCTGAGTATGCACAGCAAATGCAAAATGCACCTTTTTTAAATTATAATTTTCCATGTTCTCCATACATTTTGTGATGACAGAGTTCTTTATTACGTGCACAGTAATTTTTATTGTATCTTCACTGCTTGGAATTAGAGACTCTCATCCATTTCAAAATAACCTGCGTAATTTTTGTCTCCGAGATAACTTAGTACATATGTTGGTTTGACGGTCTCCCTAGCAGCCAGACTCTTCATATGACTCTAAATGAATGAAGTAAAATCTTCAAATGAGCTTGGCTGTAGGATGAGATAGTGTCTGTGGTATTTGCAGTTCTGTTGTATCCTGCACAATAATGAAAACAGGAAAGCAATGTCATATAGATCAAAACAGCTTGCAAGGCTTTAGTTTCTTCATTGGTAGGTAATTAGTTCAAATTTAGGTTAGATATAAGTTAGGGAGTTGCACTTTGTAGCAGTTGGTTCAACTGCATCTTTTTTCTTTTTCTTTTTTTTTAAATAATTTTTATTTTAAGGCATGGGTTATATTCAAATACAGGACTGGATCAGAGCATGAGACTGCACCATATTTGTTATGTAGTGTAAGAGGGTAAAACTTTTGCTATGTTATGATGAGAGTGTATCATAGGACCTAAATCGGATGCTTAGAAGCAGAATGTGTTATATTGGCGATCACATAATTAGTTTATACCTGTAACATGGAAAAGAAGCTCTTCATAGCATTCTACGTTATGTATCAGCAGCACTCTGAGGAGAGAGGTCTGAATGAATAGTGGGACTGAATTAAACTTTTTCTCAGGGTGATAATTTTAAATTTATGATTTGAAAATGAGCTGGACAAGGCTAGGCATTTTAGTAGTATACCAGTGAAGTAACTTTATGGGGTAAGGTGTTTATGGAGAAATATTTAGGGGAAAATATTATGTGGGTGAGTTGATAATGAACAGATGATTAATTTATAATTCAAACTTCCTTTTCACAGCTTTCTTCTGTTTCTGCAGAATTCAAGATAAAGTAGAATTAATTTAGCTCTTAAGACAGACTTCGTGTTACTGAGTTCTGCAGAACTTGAATATTTCTCATGAGGTACCATTACCAACAGCAAACACGACACACTATCTTTTATATTCTCAAACTACATTTATGGTAAAAGGTGGACATTTAGTGGTATACTGTTACTGAAATTTTGTTTTTAAAAAACTGCACTTGTATAATTAAGTATTCTTCAGAAATATTAAGTTAACATCATTATGAGGAAATGAATATAAAGTAATTCCTGCATCTTCTTTATAGATTGAAGTAACATGAGTGAAAAGAAAAGAAATAACTGTAGGATAGGATTGAATGACTTAAAGTTAGACTAGGCAACAGGGGCATTAGAGTGGAAAAACTGAGTCGTAACCCTACATGTACCTGTCTGTAAAACTCTTCACTTATAGTTTCTTGTGCTTAAAAAAGAAAAGTTATTGATTCATTGTGCACCTTTCAGTATCATAATTTAGTGTTCTGTGTCTTGGTGTAGTTGTGCAAGTGTTAACTGAGATAATAGCTACTCAGGAGCTTTGAATACAAAGGTAATTATTAAATACATTGGGGGAAAAATTGTCAGATTCTTTGGGAATTGTGTCACCATACAGCACAAAACCATTTAGCTGGTTTTTATTTGGTTTTTTTTAACCACTGTTGGTTTGCATGGTGTTGGGGTTTTTTTCGCATGCGTTTGTATTCTTGAAAAGCTGTATTGAGAATGACCCCTTCATGTCACCCAAAGACTTACCCAATTGAAACTAAACCTGAAAGAGGAATAGTATGTAAAGTATAAATAAGACAACTTTTGAGAGAACTGGTATAAAGGTAAAAGAAAAGTGAAGGGATGCAAACCTGTAGTAAATTGGGATTCGTTAATTTTACTTTTTTAAGCTGGCTTTTGTTTGCAACATGAATGTCATGATTCGGTTAAATACAGTAGAAGCTTTTTTTTTTTCTTTCCCTGCTTATGGTTCACGCTGGAAGCAGCAACAGGCTGTGTTCTATAGCAAACTTTGGAAATCTCAATCTGACAACCAAAATCTATTGGTCTTGATGGGGATTCCATTTAAAAAGTCAATTCTCAATTTTCTGCATCTATAGTTTATATGAAGTTCTGTGCTACGATAACTGAGGCAGCTTGATATTCAGCCACCAATGGTCAAAGTAGAAAGTTGGTAAATGAGGCATGTGATGTGGTCACAGGAGTGGTGTTCCCAGGGACAAGCAAACTACAAGCTTGAGACTGAGGAACACGACTGACAGACTATGAATAAAACACTCTTAAGAGGAGTAAAGGGAACCACAATGTTTTAACAGCAACTGAAAGCATTGTAGGTATTTTTTCTCCAGCTAGAGGAAGAGGATGTTTGACTCAGTTTAAAGATAAATGCTTGCGAGTGCAAGTCTGTGCTTCCCATTTGAACTTTATTGTAATCTTAATGCTTTGTGGTACAACTGCTGACTGTCATACCCTACATCGAGATTTTTACACCTTGGTCTTGTCAATGGTCAGTCACGCAGTGGAATCAGAGTGAAAATGTAGAATTTGAAATTTACTTTACATTATTTGGGGATTTAAGACTTGGGTTTTAATCTTGATAGTTAAATCAACTTAAACTTTGTGACATGGAAGTAGCTTATAGATTTACATTTAGCATGCCAGTGCAAATGTAAACATGTTTATTCTTGGACTACTAAAAGCAATAGTTACACTTCCTAATGACTCAAAGATTAAATGTCATTTGGTGCTCCGAAATTTCTTGTTCTAAAAAGGGTGGTAAATGGCAAATTGGAGTAAGAAGTATGAATGGAGGCTATGCTCTTGATGACTATTGCTTGTTTAGACTTCATAACACTTGCAGTTTGGCTAAAAGAGGCAGTTTTTGCAAATAGGGTCACGGTGATTTGCAGAAGTCTCCTTCCCTCAGTTAAAAGCTGCTGTCTCAAGTGTGGAGTCAGAAGAAGAAAACACGTATCCATAACTCAGCCTGCCTCAGTGCAAAATCCAACAGCTTAATTAGAATTGTGGGTAAGAGTGGATTTAAGCGAAGTCTCTGGACTTCGCGCTTACATAGCTAATGTAGCCTTCTGCCAATGCTGTTGAGGTGGTGGTGGGTCCTGGCACAAGAGCAGAGTGGATAACTGGGGCAATAATTTCTTCAATTTAGGAAATAGTTTAAAATTCTTGACTAGTTTCTAATTTCTTAACTCTAGTCATATCTTCAAATGGTTCTTGCTACCCTGTGTATATTCTTTGAAATGAGTTTAGTTTTTTCTTTTTCTTTATCTGTATCTTTAGTATAACCCTAAATACACTAAAACCATTTGTGTAGATAATGCCATCTTTCTTTCATTGCTAATTTTAACAAATCTTGTCAGTGTTTGTTCTACTGATAACTATTCGGGGGTTTTTTGGGGGCGTGGGAGAAGAGTTTGTGAGTATGTGTAGCTTTAATTGGTGGTTCACTAAATGATCTTAATGTTAATTTACTGGAAAACTATCACATATATATCATGTACATACATTACGTGTTCTTGTAAAGATCTAGGCATCCTACAAATGCTCACTTGAAGGTGAGCTGTGTGAGAATAGTGTTGGGCTTCAAGCATTGTGCTGTTAAAACATTGTTTTTCAGTATAGATGGAGTATTTGAGGGTTTCACAGTTTGCTTAAAGGGTTTTCTAAGGCTACTTGACACTTTATTGGCGTGGGGAAAATGCTAATATTTACAAGTTTCATGACTTGCAAGCTCTTGTGAAACTTCTGCTACACCATGTCTCTTTTGTTCGTGCTTGTGTATGGTTCTAAAAGAGACCAACACTTAGACAATAGCAAACTTAAAACTGTTAAATTTTAATTTGAGCATTTGGGGAGTTTATTACTCCTCAAGGAGCTTTGGTTTCGATGGTAGATTCCCCTCCTCCCCCCCTTCTTTCATGACATTAACAACTAGGACAGCTTTTTTTTTTTTTGAACACTCAATGACAATACCAAAGAAACTGCATTGACATGTATAATCCTGTTCGCAGTATCAGAATATAGGACAATTATAGATAGAGTTTTTTAATTAGTTTGCTGCAACAGCAGTTTGTGTCTTGAGAAGGAGGAGGCTTTTTAAGAGTTTGGTTTCATTCTGAATAAGTAGCTAATTTCGAATTCCATTTTATTGCAATGATAAGGAAACAGTTGTATTATTAATAGTCGAGTCATCAAACCACTTAAAGTCTAATATGTCACAGTCACCAAGTAGGAAATTAACTCAGAACACTTAAGAATGTAATCAAACAAGGATAACGTTTGGTTTCTTGTGCAAGTATTATTTAATTAATTCTTTAATGGGCGTTTTATTTTTGTTTGGGCAAAACTTCATTGACTATTTTAAGTTTCACAGATACACATTGTATTGAAGCTGTTGCTGTGGTAAGTGTTTAGTACCGACTGTTTATTTAGGTGCTTATGTGCTAGGCATTGGATTCTAACGTAAAGAATTGTATTTTGAGTTGCTCTTATGTGTTCTGAAATGCCTAACAATAAGCAGTTGCACAGTTTTAGAAAACTACAGTGTATGCCTGCAATGTTGGTGATGCTTTCAAAAAAATGTCTTTGAGGCTCCAGTTTTGTGGGGGTTTTTTTTGTTTTTTTTTTTTTTTAAGGATTGCATATTTACCACATAGCTTACATTGAAAAACAGCAAGCTTAAGTTTTGTTGTAGAAACAGAAGAACAAACTTCAGTGCAGAAGGCCTTCTATAAAGATCAAAAGTGGAGACTCCTAATGAAAGCATCCTAGTGGGTTTCAATGAATAGAAGTGTTATCCTGAAGAAGAGTTACAGCCCTTAGGGTATATGCGGGGGGAGGACAGGAGTTTCCTAATGTATGTGGTTTTGTCAATGCAAAATAAATGTTTTAGCAAAGGGACAAGAGACTGGAATGAGGGAGACTGAAGTGTCTTCCATTGATAGTGCCAACTCCTGTTGGTTCAGGTGCATGTGAAACTGGCCTTAGCTGAAGGTTGAGTAAGCGAGACCTTCCCCAACTTGAGTGCAAAGTAGCAAACGTGATCAGTTAGAAACTATGTACTGCTAGTAGATTGTTGCTAGGTATTTAAAACCATCCGGACTTACAGAGAAGAAACTTTCAAAGTGAATGATAAAACTTAAGTGCCACAAATACTAGGAAGATGACTAGAAACTTGTGAGCCTGTAGGTTGTGGATGGAAGTGTGTTATTGAGCTTGTTTTCTTCATTGCTTATTCTCTCTCAGTGCTGGGTAGAGGAGATGGGGAGAAACATACAGTAGTATATCAACAATGACTTAAGAGTGTTTAAAAAGTTGTTTCTTCTCAGAAAAAAACCCTAATACTCTGCATATAAAATGGCATATTTCTAAATTAGCAGGTTGTAGTTCATATTGTGAACTAAATCAAATTTTCTGTTTATTCTAGTTGGTTTGGATGCTGCTGGTAAGACAACTATTCTCTATAAACTGAAACTAGGAGAAATTGTCACCACAATTCCCACTATTGGTAAGATAACCAATTCTCATGTCTTCATTCTTGTTACTCTAAATTTGTGTTGTACAGATGGGCTTCTGAAGAGTGTAGGGATTTGCTATCATTGCTGTTAGTATAAGAATCAAGACAAACATGGGCTTTCTGGTACTGCCATAACATAACTGTGTCAGACCAAAGATACATCCAGACGAGAATCCTGTGTCTGACAGTGGCCGGTAGCAGATGCTCAGGAGTATAGGGACCAATTAAGTAGCAGTACTTCACCCAAACACCATGAACCTCTAGCAGTTTGTGGCTGAAAGACTTGCTGAACCAAAGGTGGTGTACTTGGATTTTATGGATTAATTATTTTTTTTTTCCCTTCAGTCAGTTTTCTTCTTGATCTAGCAATTCAGTTCTGATAAGCCATTTTATATATATTTGGGAGAAATATAACTTAGGAAGTAACTATCTTTAACATGATTAGAATTACATTTTAACACTAGCATTAACTATTTCTAACTGTTTGACTCTTTTATTTTAGGTTTTAATGTGGAAACGGTAGAATATAAAAACATTTGTTTCACAGTTTGGGATGTTGGTGGTCAAGATAAAATTAGACCTCTTTGGAGGCATTATTTCCAAAACACACAGGTAAGAGTTCTGAGATGGCAATCATTAAAGGCCTGTTTTGTAAAGTCTCATTATACATGGAAAGTTGTTTTCTGTCCCTTCCTTTCAGAAAGGCTCCTCACTACTTCCTGCAAGTTCTAAGGGATACCCAGATTTTATTCTAGTTGAAGCTGGTTTGTTACCCTGAAGGCTTCAAGTCTAGTCGTGAGTGTAGCCTGGCAAGGATGAAGTCCTTTAGGATCTACCAGTGTTCTGTAATGTGCCAGAGCAGCTGGTGTGTTTGTGAGGAACTCTTCAACTTTGCTGTATCCATGCTTTGATCTGTTTGAACTGGCATTGGCTTATACATAAAAAATGTTAATGTCTAAACACCCTTCTACATATCCTTTTTTTCCTAATCAGCCTTAAAATATACAGCTTTGACTGTGCTATATCAGTATATTTAGTACACTGAGTATCTAAAAATATCGTAAAAGATCTTGTTACCGATTGATTAGAAAGTGTCCACTTCATATTGATGTGGCTGCTGTCATTTTTGGTGACATAAATGTGATTCTTTCCTTCGGTTCACAGGTAGTGAGGTAAGTTGCTTATTACTATCAGGAAACTTTGGGAGTGTTGTTTTGTTTTTTTGGTTTTGGTTTTTTTTTTTTCTGTGTTGAATATAGCATTGTTTCCAAGCAACTTCTCTGCAGTGTTAATGCATGTGATTGGTGCAGAAAAATGGAAGAGTCTGGATTGATTGAAAAGGAGCAAGCAAAGTACTGTTGTGAATAGAGTAATACTTGATTTCAGTTCCTTATTCAACCCTGTTACTAAATATTTTTAAAAGATGCTTCTCTTTTCTTAAAGAGAATGATAAAATATAAGGTTTTCAGGCTGAAATTTTTAAGAGTAAATAGTGTGTGTAAGTAGGACACTTGAGTAACAGAGATGCCATTAGAAATACTGTTTGGTACAAACTTTTTGAAACAAATTCAGGCCTTACTTTAAGGGTGTGGGTTTTTTCAATGAAACGTGAGATGGTGAAGCACTTGTGATTCTCTTGCTGCATTTAACATGATACAATGAGTGAAAAGGGAAGGGGGAGAGTTAGCTTCTGAAATTTTGCTGGTATCTTCCCCGTGCGTGCCCCCCCCCCCAAACTAATGAATCCCACACTAATCTATAAACTGACATTTGTGGTGTTTAGCTGTTTTGATTTAGAAGGCCTAGCTTTATTTTGCAGTTGAAACTTATTATGTACTTGTTTGGACAGACATCTTGCATTGCTTAAAAAGAAATTTCTGTCAAATTTGCTTATCTAAGAGAGGGGACAGTCACAATATTCAATATGAGTTTTTTAAAATAGTACCACATGTTTACATTGGCTTTTCAAAACTGTTTAACTTCTTGCAGGGCCTCATTTTTGTGGTAGATAGCAATGACAGAGAGAGAATCCAGGAAGCAGCAGAAGAGCTGCAGAAAATGGTAAATATCGATAACCTTCTGAAATATGATTGTTATACTTACTTTGTCGTATTTTTGGATGTGTGTCAGCTTCCGTAAGAGATTTAGGATTTTAAAATTTTAGGGAGTTCGTACAGTGCATGTTGTATTCACCTAGTATGTATGCACCTGGGACACTTAGTGCACTGAGTTGTAACTACAACTTTGTAGAGAGCTTTAGCTCAAGAACTACTAATATGTCAGAACCTTTCTTTCCTTCATAAAACCTTAATAGAAACGCAGCAGATGAAGAAAGAATTTTGGAAAAACAAATTGGTGCTAAGAATTTCAGTAGCAAGTTGCCAGTAAATTTAAACTGCCTGTTGAAAGAATATTTCCTTACTTGTAGGAGAAGTTCTGTTGGGTACTAGTTAAATTTCACTCGGTATGTACTAGTGACTTCAGGAGCAAGAATGAAAATGTTTATAACCCTTAAATCAGTATTTAGGTTTCTTTAGTGCTTGTTGAAGTAATTGAAGTACTTAGCTAATTTAATAACATGACTATTTTTTCTGTTAGCTTCAGGAGGATGAGCTGCGAGATGCAGTGCTGCTTCTGTTTGCAAACAAACAAGATCTGCCAAATGCCATGGCAATCAGTGAAATGACAGATAAACTAGGTCTTCAGTCTCTGCGTAACAGAACTGTAAGTACTAAACTTCTTGGCTGCTGAACTCTTGTTTGCCTTTATTACATATCGTAAACATGATCTCCGTTTAAAGGAAAGGGAAGTTTTCACCTCTTTCTGTAGAAAGACGCACATACCTGCTATTAAACTCTGTAGTGCATCAGTCCTTGTTCAAAGTAAGTGATTTAGAAGTATAATCCAATGTGTACAGCTGTTGCAGGTGTTTCATGTCTCACCTTTTTCTGGAAAAATACAAATATTCCAGTCTGTCACTGAAGTATAGCTGTCAAACATGTTTGACAAAGTATGTGGTGGGCTTTCCTGTTTTCCCAATACTTGTTATTCTGGGGGAGAAAATGCATTCTGCATTCTCACTGCTACAAAGGTGGGAGGAAATTAAGTAGCTCCTGAATTGTTAGATTCCATCTTCACAAGCCTTTGAGACATAGGGTTGCTTCACATTAAACATCTAGCCTTCTGTAATACTCGCTTAATGTCTGGATACTAAGATCATATCCATAGAAGATGTTTTAGGGGTCTGTTAATTTAGATAATTCTGTGTCTGTTTCCTGAAGAGCAGTCTTTCAAAAACAAGAAGTTAGTTTTCAGCATATAACCAAATGCAAGTTCTGTATTTGTTTCTTGATGCACTAAACAGTGTTCTAGCATTTGGTAGGCCAACATTTTGAGTTTTTTGGATAATGTCTGAATCCCATCTGCTTTATATATACTTTTCAAAACTTATAAAAATGCCATCTGTTCAATATTGACTCTACTTATGGCACAAAACAGTGTTTAAAGAATGCTATTTGAGTGTGTATTTGAGTGTCACATACTGTGATAACTTAACTTGCATTTTGTCAGTACTTAAATTTAATCTTTTCTGTGTTCTGCATTAACAGTGGTATGTCCAGGCTACCTGTGCTACACAAGGAACTGGTCTGTATGAGGGACTTGACTGGCTGTCAAATGAACTCTCAAAACGCTAACTCAAACTGGATGACTCTTTCACCAGGGACATGTTTGATATAAGTGGTCTAGGCTTGTTACAACAAAATTAGTTTGCATCTTGGTTATTACAGTATCTGGAACTGATATTTGGGCAGGATATTACAGCGTTTCAACTTATTTTGTTGCCAATTATTGTTTACCGAGCTACATGTTGCAAAGGTAGCAATATGCTTGGGTAAAAATCTCCTTAACTTGGAAAAAGTGTATCTTCTGATTTTATTCCCCTTGTTAGCCTAAATGCCTGAATATAGCTATTGTGACATCTTTAAGACCTGTTTTGAATACTCTTTCGAGCCCCAATAAATTAATGTTTTAAATTTTTTTTTCTCCCTGCTACTTTTAGTTTACTGATGCCCTGTTTCATTCCTCAGACAGTCTGCTGATTTGAAAATGTAGCATTCCGTATGTATTTATTTCTCTCCCTTGCCAAAAAGAATTCCTAATACTGCTTGTTCCAGCCAAGGAAATGCTCTAAAACACTATACAAATCTACTGCACTGAGGAACATTTTATTAATCCTTGGGTTCTATTAGCCCAACTTGCCTTTGTGTGAATTGGATTTGATGGGTAGAATAGTTCTGTGCTGGTTGCGAAGAGCTCATGTTGAGGTTGTTTTTAATATTCAGCAGATTGTCTTCCTTTATATTGTATCTTTTTTTTATGTTGCATGTTGCTTTTTGGTATCAGCCTGACTATTTTTGCCCAGTGTATAATAGTTCTGCTGAAGTTTTACTGTTTGTTGGTGAACATATCTTCATAAAGAAATTTTGGAAAATTCATCAAACTCAATGGATTAGTTTCTTCATAACCCACTTGGAATTATTCCTAATAAAATGATAAAATGTATAGTTCTGTGTATGCTCTTCTTGATTCCTGAAATAGTTGAACTGCAAGTTATCACTTACTCTTTTTCCATATATTGAGCTTTCCTGCAGCTTGAATGTGAACATCAACCTCAGATTTTCACTTGTTTGGAGCTGTGTAGAGCAGGACACGGAAGGTGGGCAACAAAGTTGTATACAGTGCAGTAGAGTAGCTGTCATCAAGACTTAAATAATTCTGTAAGTGTCTCTTGAAGTTGTAAATCTAAAATTCGTTTTAAGATGTCCAGATATGAAAATACTAACAGTTACAAAAATTGTAATAAAACAAATACGAACTGCCTGAAAAGCATGCATGTCTGTTTCATAGTTGTATGTACATTTAAAAACCAACGTGGGTTCTAGCAGGAGAATCACAAATTCTGTTGGTGGCTAGCTGGGAAGCTAACTTGAACAGTTGTACAGGGATTTAGTCAGTATTATATTAATGGTGATAGTCACCCCAAAAAATCAGCTCTATGCAACTGCTACCGTCTGCTTTCGTATTTCTGCTCCCTTACATCTCTGTAGTTCAAAAGACTTAAATTAACATGTTTTTTGAGGCTGCTACTAATAGGTATTTTAAAATCTATTTTTCTATTGCCTGTGTGCTCTATGGATGCAAATATGTCTCAATCCTCCAACTGAAATATTCTATTCTATTGATTGTATGTCTTTAGGAACCCAAAGTATGATTTTATTGCAGTTTTAGGCTAAGCTCCTCTCTTGTTTTTAGCCCAGGTCTTGTTATCCTTGCTACAAGAAATCCCAGGGATAAGGTCTGGTAAACTCAAGCTAGTTTAGGTTAAGAGCACCTTCCAAGGCAGCTTCTGCTGTAACTGAGGTTTAAATTTCTAGGAAGTACTGTTACTGTGAACACAACTAACCAGAGAAAATTCCAGAGCTTTTGAATACGGTCATTAACTGTCTTCAATATGTAACAGAAACCCAGGAGACAGTGTAAGGGTTTTGCTTGCACCTTTAATGAATTGCTGATTATGTATTAACCAAAGTTGATATATCCGTGCATTGGATCAGTAGCTGTCAATATGCATATTTCTAGCAATGCAGTTCCTTGAAATGATCCTTAAAAGGAACACCTTGTTCAGAAGAGGCAGCTGGTCCGTAATACGGCTTGTATTGGTAGTCCCAAGACGTTAAAATGAAACAATGCTTGTGACAAATAAAATGCCATCTCCTCTTCCAAGGAAGAAGTTAGAGGTAGACTTTAAATGAAAAAGCAGATACTTAGAAACAAATTAGGCCTATTATCTTGAAGGAAACATTCTGTTTGGTAGAGATGAAGATTTCATTGGTTTAGTTCTTTCAAATGCTTTTATGTAATTAAATACTCAGCTTTAGCCATTAAATTTTGGAGTTACAGCATGTGTATAGAAGTTCCTATTTCAAAGAGTCACCGTGCTTCACTTTGTGTACGAATAGGTTGTAATTCTGCTATAAAATGACTAATTTCACAAAATCAAAGTCAGAAATTAGTACAAGATCTTGAGCCTCATTTAAGACTGATGGGATCTGCATGAGGGGTTAAGGCTACAGCTTACACTGAAGTGTAGTAAGACAAAGTCAGTAAAATTCTTGGGTCTAATTGAGTAGTGTTAATCAGAGCACAGAGAGGAACTGAAGCAGTACTTCAATCTTCCTGTAAATAGATAAGATCACACTCGACCTCTGTTACTAAAATGATATTTCCTTCTGGGTACTCTAAGGTTGTAATCTTGGAAGCAAGGTCTCTCTTATGCAGTTTATTCATCGTAATATTAAGCTGTGGAAGGGACAAGACACTTGATGGGCTGTGGAATAATGTCACAATTGACAGAAATAAATAAACTTTGCTTCAGGTTATTATATTCTCATCAACTGTTCTAAATTCTCTAAATGTTTTCAACGTACACTCTAGATTATGTGTTCTTGCTTGTAAGCAGCAGTCCCTGGGGTTGGTGCATGTGCTTGGAAAGCCACCTTGTCTTCAGATGACAAACATGAAGTAGTTTGTTATGCATATTCTTACTGGCTATTGCTATGAGCTGAAATCCCAGCGGCTTTCTTTTTCCTGTGGAGTTAGTGCTACTTTTGTAGCTAGTGCTTGTCTGTTAGTACAAGAACAAACTTAGTCCTGATGAGGTTTTTCTTAATCTTAATTCTGATGAGGGGTGTTTTTTATTATGCTGCATTATCTCTTTTATTACCAGGATCCCATGTGGTATTGAAATCCATATCATATTCCATTAATACGGCTATCTGTCTGTAAATTCATTAACTGTGGCAGTGACACTTTCTTAAACAGACCAAAAGGAGATGAAACACTTCATCACTGGCTCTTCTCCCTTTTTGGATTACAGAAACTCAGAAGATAAATTCTACATCCTCTTCATTAGTTAGAGGCTGGTAATTTGTATGCTAGCCTTGCATGAACACAGTACAACTCTTCTACTGTAAAGGCACTGTCATTTAAGACGTGGATAGGTAAAAATACTTTTTTTGCTTTTTGGCATTCTTTATAATAGTTATTTTCTGGCTAAAGCAATTATAACAGTGACCTATACGTGCTGTATATAAGTAACAATGTATAATACAGCCCTGCTCTCCAGAGGCAGATGAAATTCCCATGAAGATCCAATTTTGTCATGTCTGTTAAGAGTTTAGATATACTAACTTTGTTTGTGATTGCCCTGTCAGAAGTCAAATACCTGAACTGAGCTGTCGTCCCAGAAGTTCAAAATCTTGGACAGGCGTAAGACTGCTAAAAATTTGTTCCTCATTCTACTGTAATGGCAGGAAATCCTGAGTTCCAGTAGCTGAAATTTTTCATTGTGTAGCATCAACTCCTGTATTCAAACAATGAGTAAGTTCTACTGCACTGGGGAGTCAGTCTAGTAATATTTGCATACGAGAGGTTTTATTTCAGTGTATCAGATGGCCAGCTTAATTATAGAGGGCAAAACACTGAAGAATGAGTGTTTTTTTCTTTTATTTGGCCATGCCGACACAATTTATTCCTTGTATTTTCAGTACATGCATGATTGGCTTTTCATTTTTTACCAACATTAGGAGAATAGTTTTGCATGAATATTCAGATCTACATACAGACCAGAGCAAAAGGCTTGTTTTGTTTTTCTTGCATGTAACTAACCTGATAACTCAGTACTACAACATAAATAGTAGCGGATATTTGTTGTTTGTTTGACTTTTTTGGTCTTTTTTTTTTTTAAAAAGCTTCATGAACAACATAATCTAGAACTTGTTCTGCAGCAGTTTTGTAGGTAATCTGCAGACTTTGGTTCAACTGTTTGCAAGCAGAACAAAAATCTGTTGTAAATGCATCAGGAATTAGCAACAAATGCTACAAGCATTTCTACTTGCTTGGTTTGTTCTCAGCATTTTCAACATAGACCAGTAAAACAATGTGCTGGACGCAACAGAATGCTATGAGGGCACTTACAGCAATGGCCTGGCTAGTGTAAAAAGTGGTTTAGGGTTTTGTCAGTACTAATTCAGAGCCCGGTTTGCAGTCCATATATTACTTCACACAGATGTAAATATAGCTTGGGAGCATGGGGGATATAGGCCAAAGGTGTGCCTAAGGGTTACTTTTCACTAGGAAAAAAAAAAAAAAAAAAAAATCACAATTCTTTTGAATTGTGACTTTAGCCTAACCTAGACCCGAGTGCTGCATTCTCACTCCAGAAAGGTCTGCCTGGTTCCTGACACGTTGCTCCTAATTGGCAGTCAGCCTGTGCTGCTGCATTTCGCCAATTAAACCAGGGATACTTTGCCTGGAGAATCTCCAGCACTAGCTCATGGGGCTGAATTTCCTCCTGAAGATATTAAAGGATTATCTGCCATGTGCAAGGGCCATCTAATTTTACTGGGCCTGTTCCAGTGCCGTGTTTTTCCCTTACCGCTTGTTTCCTGCAGATGCCAGCTTTCCTGTGCTCTCCCTCGCCTTGGTCTGCAAGGAGACAGAAGCGGCAATCCAAGTACCAATACAGGGAATGAGAGGGACCTGCTGTTTCTTGGAAGGGAGGCAGAATATCAGGCAAGTCTGTTCTCTGAGCAGCTCCATCTTCTGGTACTATGGAGAAGTTACAGATTTTTAATGTTTTGGTTTTTGGAAACCAAGACAAAGTAACCCAGTTGTAATAGGTACTTAAAAAGGAGAAAAAGAATGTTTTTTAAAGTTATAAGGGGAGCTCAGTTAACCTATGTAAGTAATATAATTTCACTTCCAAGCTTAACAATTGCAATCTTACTATTCTAAGTGACTGAGACAGAGATGTTTCTCTTGCCAGTCTACAAGCGTGCATTACTCTGGAGTTTGCTTTTGGTTGTTTTTTTTTTCCCTCAAGTTTTTCAGAGCTGGCAAACTGTAGAAGGCCTCTGACTCAGCTGTAATGTAGAAATTTTCAGTGTTTTTCCAAGGTGTTAATAGATTTTTCTTCTTGAACAGATCTTCCAATTAATTTTTTTGCCCTTTAAGATGCCATATGCTTGCAAATGTTAGATCTTCAGGTGTAAGCTTTCCCTCATTTACTAAATTAGTAAATATTCTTTGCCCAGATAGGAGGTTTACAGCCTCCATTCTGTTTACAAGACTTTCTCCTCCTGTATCTTGAAGTTTAGTTATGAATCACTGATACTTTTATTATCAACTTTGTAGTCTAGAAGAGTACAGACATCACCTTCAACTCATGCACAATTGAATTACACTTTACTTTTTAATTAGACTTATCAGAGAATAGTAACTGATCAAGGACCCACCCAAAGTATTTAAGGTCCAATTTTACAGGGTGAGTACTGTCCTTCGCTCTGTTGCAAAGATCTAACATCATTCATTGCCATTTCTATGGCCACATTCCCTGTTTTGCTGCTATTTTTTATCCGAAGGCTCTTAGCTACCATTTGGCTTAGCTAAAATGCGAACTTAGCAAAAACTGAATTCTTAAGGTTTACATATAAGCCTGCCAAAGCCCATTACAATAAATGAGCGCTCTTTCAAAGAGGTCTTGTGATACGTTTTGTGGCAGATCAGCTTAAGCAAGTGAATGCCTTGCTCCAGGCCTTGATCACTTATTCCCACATCCAAGCCTGGATCTTGCTCTTTGGGTATAAGAGGCTTTATGGTGAATCAGCTCATTATGACCCACTAAAATGATGATACAGTGAAGAAAATTAAAGGCCCTGTATTTTTAGCTGGATCACTTCCCTATTTTAGTTTGGTGTGGCATGAGCAGGAACAAGTAGCCAGAATTCAGAGGTGGTAGAACAGGATCAGGTAAGAGACGTTGGGATGAGAGGAAGATGGATGGTAACTGCTTATGTTGCTGGAAAAAGCTACTCGCAAAGGACATTTACATGAGATCTTTAGTAATACAGGCTTCTACAAACTTGTGTATTAGTGGAACAGTCCTTTTGTCAATTCCCATTTACCTGTGTTTTTATGTGCAGAGTTGGTAACAAAATTCTGGACAGTTCATGAGATTTGTCTTCTAATGTCATGATGTTTGACTTTGAGACTTAGGGGCCTGCATCTTTTTAGCCTTGTATTACCTCTGAGGCTAAACCTGCCTGGTGACTTTACTAGTGCAGATGTTTATCAGCATCAACTTGTTAGATGGCTGTGCTAGTTTTGGCTGGGTTAGAGTTAATTTTCTTCATAGCAGCTAGGATGGGGCTCTGTTTTGGATTTGTGCTGAAAACAGTGTTGATAATACAGGGAGGTTTTAGTTACTGCTGAGCAGTGCTGACACAGAGTCAAGGCCTCTTCTGCTCCTCACCCCACCCCACCAGCGAGCAGGCTGGGGGTGCACAAGAAGTTGGGAGGGGGCACAGCCGGGACAGCTGACCCCAACTGACCAAAGGGATATCCCACACCATACGGCGTCACGCTCAGCATATAAAACTGGGGGAAGAGGAAGGAAGGGGGGGACGTTTGGAGTGATGGTGCTTGTCTTCCCAAGTCACCGTTAGGCGTGATGGAGCCCTGCTTTCCTGGAGATGGCTGAACACCTGCCTGCCCATGGGAAGTAGTGAATTAATTCCTTGTTTTGCTTTGCTTGCGTGCGCAGCTTTTGCTTTACCTATTAAACTGTCTTACCCTTCTGATTCTCTCCCCCATCCCACTGGGGGGGAGTGAGCGAGCAGCTGGGTAGTGCTTAGTTGCCAGCTGGGGTTAAACCACGGCAGATACTACAGTAACAAAAACCAGTAGTAATTTTACTGGAAATAACATAGAAAAAGCTAAGGGGCAGACATTTACAAGCTTCTGCAAAGCACTGCCCTTCACAGTATAGCAGATACTACTAGCAAGAGACAGGACCAAGGACCCTTACCAATATGCTACCTGAAAGTGACTGTCTATTTTCAGTACTATATAAACAGTTTGGTGAATCCCAGCTACAACCTACAGTCCACCAGTATGCAGTGGAGGTGAGTAGCCAGTTGTGCGAGTGTACGGTACACAACTTTTATCAACCTGGATAGACTTGTTTTGCCATGAAAGACACTAGTAACTGGAAAGAAATCAAGTGACAACAGTGACAGACAATTGAAAAGGGAAGTTTATTACGTGAAGGAGGGAGATCTAGAGAAATGGTTTTCAAATGCAGTTTGTTTCATATGGACTAATGATGCAGGGAAAGTAGCTTGTTAAATGATTCATACCCCTCCAACACATTCAGTGAAGGTATGGATAATATACATTTCCCCACATCCAAATTATCTCCTACAAAATAGGGAAGACTAGACTATTTCTAGAAGGAAAAAAATGTGGGAAAAACAGTATTAAAAATTCAGATCTTTGTATATGTAATAGAGGAACAAAATAGAACAATCATGATAAAGGGTCACAAGTCACTTGTGTTTCTTTTTAAAGATTTAGGCACAGAAACCTAACACACCATGTTAACTATTCTGTCCCATCCCCCCCATCTGAAAACGGATTATATGGTTATAAAGCTCCTTCCCATCCAGAGTTGGCTGTCCCAAACTTTAGTATTTCTTATATTGCTAATGACTATAAACAACAGAAGGAACAGATGTTCAATGTAGATGCTACCTATATAGTCCAGTTTTACCAGATGCTAAAGTTACCCTCATAACCCATATTGAGTGGGCAAGCAAAATGCTTCCAAATCAACTATAATCTTGAATTTAAGATGGTTGATTAATTGTCAGTGAATAGGCTTTCTGTCAACAAAGAACATCTTTTCAGAAGGTAGTAGGTACAAGTACATTGTTCATGCCACTTACTAAAAAATTTGACACAGTAACAGTAAGTGAACAAGAGAATTTCTGAACTTACTTTAAAAATTTGTCTTGTCATGACAGTAATTACAATAAAGTTGAATCGGCTAAAGCCATTTGTTTTCAGGTTCTGTGTTTGGTTCTGAATTAAGCAGGGTTCAGTTTGTACACTGTCTTATAAATCAGATTAAATTAATGTATCTTTTTTAACAAAATATTTCTTAATCCTTTAAAAACACCTGTAAAAAAGGTATATGGTAATCCAATTTTCAAACCCCCCCCATCTTAAATATATTTGGTTTTCCTATTCGCATATAAAAAGGGAAGGGAAAAGTTGTCATGCAAATATTCTGAACAGTGTGATAATATTCAGTAGAACCATTAAACACATGAACTTTTTAGTAATCGTTCTGACTTTCCTTTTAGTAGCATACAAGCCAGGGTGTAACCTCAGTTCCCCAGCAGTAAATTAAATTTCTTGTTTGAAAACCCCAAAAGCACCACGCAAGAGCTGATCTATTTCCACTTTAAGTCACATATTAGTGCTATATGATCAGAAGGATGTGAAACACTTGGCAAAGCCTGGTGCGTCGTTACTTCTTCATGACTTGGCAATGGAATGACCTGTTCAACCTCAAGAGCATTTTTGTCAATGAAAATGTAGTCCAGACATCCATGAAACCCACCAACATAGTTTGTATAAGCAGGTTCTCCGCAAGCACTTAGCAGTTTGAAAGAATGGCTTAGAGGCATATTGCACCTTTCTTCTTCACCATTCGAGACCCAGTCTTCATGATCTTCAGCAATGCCACCACTGTTAATAAAACTGTAAGTTCCAGACGATGGCGTACTATTAAAATCTCCACAGAATATGATTGGTATGCTAGGATACAAATCACATGCTACATGCTTGATGTGAGACAAGGCTACAGCGATTTGGATGAGACGGATGTTCCCACCTAAGAATATAAAAATGTATTACTTTAAATACTTCACAGTAGCATTGGAGGAATTTTCCAAGTTGCTCATTTAAGCATATATCATGTATAGCTCTGAAACAGCAATCTCATTTTAAATTTTCTGTACACTACATTTTAGAATAGTTTTCATAAATAAAGAAGCCTTTGAAGTTTGTGACTATGCAAGTTTTAGAGAGGCAGACAATGTTTTAATTTAAACTGACACATGCAAGAACTCTGAACCTTAAACATCCATATTACAGCAGCTTTCTATTTCATGGCAACCATCCTAGTAGTGTTCCCGAAAGACACAGAACCAAAAGAAAACTAATTTAAAAGAGGAGAATCTCTTCTAAAAGCTTCTGTAGCCCAATTTGGTTGCCCTTCTGGCAGTACCCCAATATAACTCCTTCAGGTACAACAGGATCGGGAAGCAATGAACACACACAAAGCTATCTATATTTTATGGTCTACTCTTTGGGTGAATCGTGCATAACATGACTTGCCTTGCTTTCAGCTGTATTCTACTGACTCCCAGGCAAACTAGAACAATCTTACTCTAAGAAAAATAGACAGACAGACCTAGTAGCCTGGCTTGATTCATCTAGCTAAGAAGCAAGGCAGGAAACCCTCAGTTCCAGAAGAAAAGGTTATAGCTGCAAAAGAATGGGGAAAAAAATCTATTCTCCCTAGGAAGGACAAAAACCTTTACAAACCCAGTTATTCTACATACAGGAACATGACAAAATTACCTTTTGGATGCCAGTATAGGTGGGTATTAGCTACACAAATCTTCCTGGAAGGATCAGTTGTAGACTGAAGAACTGAAACCTTCAAGAGAAAAAGAAATCTTTGATAAGTCTTAAATATATGTATTAAAAAATGCAATAGTTAGCTTATGCCTTTATGGTCCAGTTCAAAGAATCTGATGTTTATAACTAATGAACAGTACAGCTCCTACGTCGACTCTATTTATCTTCTATATAAGGTCTGGATATCAGCCAATGTATTACCAATATTACCACTACATCCAGGTATTTGACAAATATTCTTTTGTCCATAAGTGTCTGGTTTGGCCATATTTTTTCCTCCAATCCATTCCATATTTTTTTCATAAGATGTTGCTAATACTGTACCATTCTTAACTACTTTTACTGTCTGTTCTCCCACCTCTCCAACAGAATTGGAGCTGTGTCTCTGGTTTTAGCAAGCAAACTGTAGCATTGCATAGGTGTTAAACTGAATTTCAGTTATCAAGGAAAGCTTGTTAGTCCTACTCAGTCCACGAGTAGGAAACTTTTACCAATGAGTGTTTCTGAAATTCCTGACAGACCTAGCTCTTACACGTTTGTACTTACAGGATAGTTCTGCTGGCAGACCCACTGGCATCAACAAGCTCACAAACCTCTCCAACCTTATTTCTCTCCCTACTATCACTTTGTAAAGTGGCATTATTAAAGCAAGCCAAATTAATTTCATCTCATTTACAACTGATTTACAAGATTTAAGTTTTATCAAATACATATTCTGACATATGAGAGTAAGTAGTGAAAAACTTGGCAGCCAATACCACCATCGATACCTGGCCCTGAATCTCAACAGCCGTCTTCATCTTAAAACAAAGAACATCATTTTGCCTTTTTTACCAAATTTTGGTAATTCCATGTATCCAGTTCAGTAAAGTCTCAATATTTTGTTCTTGTTCCTAAGTTGCTCTTCTGCTCTATTCATTACCCTAGCTAACAGAGAACATACCACTGTTCTGTCTATGTTTCAGACTGTTAATCCTTCGCCTCCCTTCTCCTGTGGTTTGATGCTCAACAAACCTAGCTTGGCTGCACCTGCCTGGAGACAGTGGGAAGAGAGGGGAAGAATGCACATAAAAGCTGATACCTGCAGCACAGATGATCTCTGCAGCACCTTCTCCTGCACCAAGGGGTACTCGGCCAGCTTATCACACAACTCCTTGTGCAGCGGGTCCGAAAGCAGGGCTTCGCTGAAAGCTATGTCGTGCTGGCTAAGGAGGCTGAACTTGTCCCTGCGGTAGAAAGTGGCCAGGCCTTCGTGCTGCTTCTCCTTGATCTTGAAGAGCCCTTCGAGTCCAAAAGCATCTAGGGCTGGAGCCAAGCTGTCCACGAAGACAGACTTATCCACTTCTTGCAAGCAGATGAGGTCGGCACTGTAGCCCGCCAGCTCCTTCTTGAGCAGGTTCTGCCGGTAGTCGAGCTCCAGGGCGTATGGAGCACAGTAGGGGTAGAGCACGGTGCGGGAGAACTCCGTCTGGGCGTAGGTGTCGGCCAGGATGTTGTAGGAGACGGCTCGAATGGAGCTCTCGCCGCAGACCTTCTTGGTGTAGAGGTGCCGGGAGTCGAAGGTGCAGGCGCCGGGGCCGGCC